AATAAAAAGATTCTAGTTCTAAAAATTATACTTCCTGGAATTTTCAACTTAATTTTAGCAGTTGCTACTAAAAATTAATGTATAAGCGTTTCTTATTGCCAATATCTAAGCACAACAAAAGTTTGAATGATGTACGACGTACGACATCCTAGTCTATGCCTTTTCTCTGTATTCCAGTTCAAACTCTGCTGCTAGGTTGGTGAATCTTGTGTATTTGCATCATCAAAGTACGTAGTTAATGGATATATCACACTGTACAACAAGAAGGATAAAAACTGCTTGGATTCTGCCACATTGTTCCTGAAAATCCGGAAATCATCGTTCATCCCCTTAATAAATATTTTAATAGACAATTTAGGGATTAGGACTGGGGCTTTGGGAGGTGGATACGGCACTTATTCACAGGATGAATTTTTATGCCTCCTGATAGATCACTTCCCGAGTGTGTCCGAGATAACAAAAGTAATTCTGGCCTAATCCAATGAAAAATCCTCAATAATAGCGATATTATTGATAGCCGGTGGAGGAGCAAATAAAAAAGTTGTGAAACTTCCAAATCCCCACAGGGTATTCGAGTGAGAGGCTCGGAGCAGACAATAACGATTGAGAGTTTCATAAATCACGGACCATCATACTCTAAACTTAAAGTTAATCGAGGGATTTAATATCAAATTATAATGATTATTGATTTTCTCCGACTAAGCCTCTCCGGAATATATGATTGTCTGGAGTCAGCGAAGCCTTGCAGTTTTTGATTAGATATCTTTCCTGATATTTCACACCCCGATGGATATTAATAAAGTTGAAGATATTATTCAGTACTAATAAATATAATGCTATGGAAGATCCTCGTCCTGTAGTGTAAGACGGAATCCGATTTGAAATTAACTTGGTCTAGCTCGCACAGGGATTATTTTTCAATTTTCCTGCCTTAATTAGTTTGTGAACTGCAAAAGCTATTGTTCACACGAATGGAAAGCTATAGTTCTGAAGAAATTTTCCAAAATTCATTCTTTTTTTAATTCTTAATTGTACTCGCAATTATAACTAAGAGATTTCAACTAAAATTAAGGAACAACATTCGACTTAAAATACCATTAAGAGAAATTTAACCATATAAATTGCACATGTATGTAAGTATATAAAAAAGATACGATTCCCAAATACACTTAAAAAATATCGCATTAATATGAACTGATAAATTTGCTATTAGTATATTAAATACACATCATAATGAAGTAAACTAATACTGAGCTTTGATTAATTATTCATAAAACTGATACATACGTACCTAATGATCCATCAGGTGTAATCAAATATGTATGAGTAACATAATCGTTGCTTAGAATGATATATAGTATTTTGGAAAAAAACAAATAACAATAATACGTCTTGTATTAAAAGTAATCCACGAATTCTTCTATATTTTGTATACAAGGTGTTAACGAAATGGGTAGGTACTCAAAATTGGAGAGTATGTAAAACATTTCGAAATATGTTGAAAACCATAGTAGAGTTTGTATCAGTGGCGACCCCTAAGGGAGATACAGCCCCTTGAAGGGGTAACTCAGGAAACAGTTTTTATTCCATAACTTCAAAACGGTTTAATATTAAATCGTGAAATTTTGGGGTTGTATTACTATTTACATGCTTAATGATCGGCATAATATACAAATCAAAATTTGCTACAGGGGTGTAAGAAAATGCGGATCATGGGGCAAATTTTACAATTTTTTTTGAACGCAATTTTTTCTAGGTACTTCCTGAACCGAAATTATGAAAATTTATCATATTTTGCAAAAAAGGTACTGTTGTTAGATTTTAATAGCATGAGCCGTTTTCTAGTAAAATCCATTTCAATAATTCCATCCATTTCAATAATAATTTATTAACAGAGGTGTCAAGTATATGTCAATTATTGATTAAATTACCTACTAGGGCAGATGTGAACGAATTTGCAAACGGTAACATAAATACCTAAGCTCCGTGCGGTTTCCGCTGTGTCTGAATTAGCCCATAATGCAATATTATCTGCAACGGTGAAAGTACATTTACAATAACAATTTTATGTTTCATGGGTCTTTTTTTGGTATATTTTGATTTTCAAATAAAAATAATAATAGTACCTAATAACACTTTATTATTCAAAATTATTTATGTTACTGTTTACTACAAAACTAGCTACTTAACTGTGATATTAAACTCTGATTTAGTAACAGTTACATAACAACTATAAGTACAAAAGGAAAATTAAATAAAAATAGTAATTTTCTCATGGCACATGAATTATTGAAATGGGTTTTACTAGAAAACGGCTCATGCTATTAAAATATAACAACAGTATCTTTTTTATGCAAAATATGATAAATTTTCATATTTTCGTTTCAGGAAGTAGAAAAAAATGCGTACAAAAAATATTGTAAAATTTATCCTATGATCACCTGTAGCAAATTTTGATTTGTATATTATACCGATTATTAAGCATACAAATACAACCCCAAAATTTCGTGATTTCATATTAAACCGTTTTGAAGTTATGGAATAAAAACTGTTTCCTGAGTTACCCCTTCAAGGGGCTATATCTCCCTTAGGGGTCGCCACTGACAAAAACTCTACTAAGGTTTTCAACATATTTCCAGATGTTTTACATACTCTCCAATTTTGAGTACTTATTTTGTATTCAGAAACCTTTCTATATCAAGTAAAAATAGGTTTTTATTGAAAATGCGTAAATATTTAAGTAAGTACAATTTGGAGTTAAAAAAATGCGGTAACACTATCAGTTTGATTGGTATATTGCTAGAAATATGCAACTGCGCTAATTATTACAAATCAAAGCAAAATTTGCATTATACTCTCAATTATTATGGTTATATGCCCCTTAAAAGTGTAAAAGTTTTCAAAAAATAACAGCCATTGCTTTTTAATTTAATATCAGTTACATTCATTCTTCTAATTCCTCCAGGAAACTGTATTTAAATGAACAACTTTCAAAGAAACAGTGTAACACTAATAAAATACTACGTTAATATCGACTTACAAACAAGAAAAAAACTTATCATAAATAATAAGAAAAATGTTTCTAGCTGGAAATGAGGTTTCGTTATTACGATGCCGCTATGAAAATAACGGGATTTTAATTAAAAAGCCAGAATCAATTTAATAACGCCTAGAGAGAAGTAAAAAGTTTGTCTGTGGCTATGAATACTAATTTTACCGAAATGCAGATTTAGAATACAATTATATATATTTTTTAAAGTTCTAGCGTCGCCGGTAAAAACTGCAGCTTTTCTGTAACGATCTGAGAACTGAGAAATTAACAACTAAACATTTCGTCTAACTTCTTGCAAAACTATGCAATTCTTATCAAGATGCGTAAAAACTTTCCTTCATTTAAACCACTTCAGAAAGTTCTGAAGGAATGATATATTAATAGTTTCATTCAAACGAGCAAGTTCAGTGCTTTGAAGGGATGATTAATTTCCAAAAGATTAATATCCGGAGGAGAGATTATACCTCATATTTTGATATACATATTATTTCATAGTCACGACAGAAGACTGTTCCGAGGAGATTGTTCAGTTTATTTAGCAAGCTGTGAAACCATTTCTTTATCCTTGATAGTATCGAAAAGAATACGAATTGCACACCGAAGAGAAAACAGGGATCTGCTAACCTCATATCTGTTAATAAATAGTAGGAGTAAGAGTTTTTTTTGTGAATTTGGAAGTGATAATATGGGAAAAATTAAATAAAAAACATTGATGGTTAGAATTAAAATCCAATAGTATTATCGTAAATTAGAACTATTATATTTTTGCCTCTACTCTCTTTGGCATACAAGAACTTACTCACATAATCTAGAAAACAACCAGATTCCACGACGGGAAAGTAACAGCATGAATTACCCGAATCCCGAGAGGCCAGATGTCATGATTCAAACAGCAGTACCCGGAAATTTGCGGAGCCACCCCGATGTGTGATCGAACGTTGACTTCGAAACCTTGCAGTTCAGTAAACAGAGCGAAAGCAGCTAGTTTGACTACAAAACCTGAATATTCGTTGCTTTTCAATACACTGATGCTTATTTAGAGGTAAAGAAGTCCCAAGGTTATACTGATATGGCAGGTCCCAAAAACATGAAAAATGAAAAACAGTTTTTTCCGGATTCGTTGACAGAACTCCAATTTGAACGAAATAGTCGCATTGTGCAGGATCCCTTTATTTCTGATATATCAATATATTATAAAAATTACCAAAATTGCTTCATGAGCTTCTTTAAAAACAGTCATAAGAACACAATAATTACTTTCTTGCATTTTTACCAAATTCAGATAGACCTGTTTATTAAATAATTGATAATAAACAATGAACCATAGCAACCAGCTGGTATAACAAAACCTACCACGTTTACCAAGAAGTATCAAGTCGTACGAATATTTTTTTATTAAATTCCAATAATTGTGACCACAAACATGATTGTGACGTAATTATGGATAAAACGTTTTATTGCATTCGTGTTTTATTTGCCTTTTATCCACTTAATAATTCTAGTGTGGATAAAATGCTACTTATAGTGAATATTATTCACAATACTATTCACTATGTTTTTATGTATATCGGAATATTAGGATTAAAACTCAAGATTTGCATTTGAAAGTTTTTTTTTATAATTCTAGCTTATTTTCAAATATATCAAATCGTCTTAAAGAAGAAGAAGAATGTTTTAAGTGTTTACTTGAAATATACTTAGCTTGATATGACATTTGACTACTATTACTTTATTTGAATTTGACTTGATTTCAAGTAATGTCAAATAAAATAACTTGATAATTAAGTCAGACCCCTTGCAAATAATAGTGCTAACATTAAAAGAAGCGACATATCCTATACGGATAGAAAAATTAACCAAAGAATATGGTAATCGATTAACTATTTTTATGCAGATAAGTTTAAAATGGAAAACTTCGTGTATTGTAGCAGCATTGTAAGTTACGTACCCGTGCAAATTAATCCACTGCAAGCTCCGCAGCTCTTTGAGTGCGACGAAAGGAACGCTGTCTAGTTGATTATAGCTGAGATCCAGGGAAGTGAGGCTTTTCCACAGCGAACTGGAACAGACATATTACCACGTATAATCACCTAATACGATGCAGAGGTGTGAATAGAAGCAAAAAAAAACTGGACATTTTTATAACTTCTCTATTACGGACCGGGTTTATTACCTTACGCTATAAGGTAGCTACGGCTTGATTGAAATATACAGCCGTTATTTTGTAATTTGGTTTTGTGTGAAGAAGAGCATGAAGCTCGCATTATTTTTGTAATAAAATTTAACGTCGGGGACGAAATTAAAATATGAATATCAGAGTCTCTGTAAAGTGTAACAGAATTATGAAATTTATGAAAAGCGTAAGATTCAGTTAAGTGCCTTAATCATACAACATTTTTCTTTGCCAAATTATATGAACTTAATAAACATTTCTCATTCTAGACGGTCAATTTATTACTCGAATCAAATTACTCAAGAAAAAGAAAAATGAAATAATTATAGAGACTGTTTTCGTTTTTATTTATTTCTATTAATTATGTGTGAAAATAAAGTTGCCATATCCAATTTATTTTACTAATCCGAAAGAAAAAGAAAAATAGGCACGTATATTTGGATTTAATCAAGGTCTACCTTGTTATAAAAACTTGGTATTTGTCGCAATCATGTTGAAATTAATCTAACATTAACGTTGTTAGCTACTAAAATGCTACATGCATAGTAAAAATTATAGACTTTCAGTAACGACGTTTGTATATATGTATTTGCAAGTATTTTGAAAAATGAGTGGCTAATATTAAAATAAAATAATTAATTAAGCATATGAATAGTATAACGTAGTATTTCTCTCGAACAACACAGGTCAACAAGGGTCAAGAAGCAGACACACTAATGTGCATTCCCGAAGGATTTTGGAGCGCTGAATCCAAATCTGGCAGCAGAATTGCTCTTTAACGTCAGGTTTCTAAAAGCGCAAAAAGCACTGTTTTTCGTCATATTTGAGGTTATGTAGTAATGCCATCTGTTCTTTAAAAAAAAAGTTATATATAATTTAAAAGTACAAGGCTCCCTCTTTCGAATGCCATTGAGTTTGCTCAAATATCTTTTTTTTCGTTGAGATATCACATGTTGATATTTCTAAGTTTATCAGTTTCTTAATATGCAAAAATCTACTAAGGATCCCTTAGACGTCAAACAGTTCATTGCAGTTCAGAAACTTTATACTCAGAAACCTTCAATACATACGAACTCACAAACTCCAAATCCTCAAACCCATAAACCCCAAACCCATAATCCCTATACCCATAAATCACAATCCCACAAAACCCGAACCTACAAACTCCAAGCTTACAAACCCTAAGCCCACCAACTCCAAACTCACAAACCGTATGGGTATGAAGTTTCTGAATTGCAATCGACTGCTTGATGTCTAAGGAATCCTTAGTTGATGTTCACATATTAAGAAATTCCGATTCAGCGCACCTAAATCGTTCGGAAATATATATTCAAGTTTCTGCTTCCAAAAAAAGGTTAAATTTGCTGGTCTGTGTAATTAATATTTTAAATACAAAGCAGTAATATGTTTGCATTGTTTCAATTAACATTACCTTGCACAAACAATGATACTTAATTTTATACGTAGCGATTAATATTGTACATGATTATTATCAAAATTAGTGCAGTTTATTAATTAGGTTAGCTCATGTACTTATTTATTGTATTTAAGATATATCTTAGTGTAGGTTGTGTTTAGAAGAGGATGTATATATCAACCAATGGTTACTATATTGTTTGATTTCCTGTTTATAAAGAAAACAACGTATAGGTTAAGAGTTGTTTAAAATTTCACTTGCCAATTCCTGCTTGTATTCTTACCTTTAGGATACAGATACGGCTTTAAAATAACTTGTTATTTGAATATTGTATTCAATATTATTTTCAACCGTAATTTTATAAGTGTTAAAAATATTTTAAAGATTATTGGTTAGGTTAGCCCAGGTTTTTGTTTACTGCGTTTACAATATATCTCTTTTAGTGTAGTGGTCCAGTGGTTGGGGTTCTAAAGAGTTTTCTGGATTTGCCTAAACTGACTAGACTAGTGACTGCAGCCAAAGGACATAATCGTCAGTTTTAGTTAGTTTGTAATGCAGAATGGCCTACAAACTCACCTGATTGTAGCTCTGTTGACTAATTGAATATTATTAAATTAAAACCAGAATGCCTAATGACACTGCTCTTTACGAATAGTAAGACCCTGATAGTTGATAATTAAAAAATAGCTGTGAGATTGCAGCTGCCAGTAGTAGGTCATTAGAAAGACATTTTTACGTTAAAGTATGATTTGATCAAATCAAAAATTGACTTTTCTAAGCGTTTTCCTCAATCAAATAAATAAATAAATAAATACAAAAAGTAGAGCGCAGCATTAATGTAATGTTCGGCGTTGCTAAAGCTCATAAATTGTTACGGAATTGAAAATGTTCTGCTTAATTTAAAATTGAAATATGCTTAAATAATAAATATAAGGTTAATTAGCCCTTGCTATTAGTGAAAATTCACAATCAGTGCTGTATTATACGGTAAAATTGCTCGACTGTTATAAATCAAATACGTTTTCGATTAATAGGACGTAGCGGAATGCTTTGATAGCGGACGAAAGCCGAATTTATTTATTTTTATTCCCATTTGAACTTTTTATTTAAATTTTCCCTGCTTTTACCAGTTTAATAATACTGCCTGAATGAACTGTATTCCCTTAAAAATTAATGAAATCGGCGAAAAGGACGCGAACGGCAGTTTGGCATTCCTCTGCGGTTTCAATTTAGAAACGTTAAGAATTTTTTACTGAATGATTTATGCACTCGTTTGTTATAAATGTTCATTTAATTATAACGCAAAAATATTTAAATTGTTACAATTACAAATTTAAATTCAAATTCATGACCGCATTTTGTTGTTTATTTTGCTATTATTGAAACAAACATTAAAACTTAAATGTATGTACCAGGGCCCAGAACTAAAATTTAGAGCATAATTTAAAAAACGCTTGTTTCTCAAATTCCGTATAAAAGAGAGTTACAGACATCAATTTTTTTTTAAATTCGCAAACTCGTAGTAGTGGCAGTTATTTTAGCCACAAAAAACGTATTTCGAAAATGAATCGTTTCTGGATACGTGTCCATAGGAACTTTTTATTTTGTTAAGTTTGATGCAGAAAATTTGGTCAAATCACATATTTCAGAAACTACTTGATTTCTGTATTAATCTTTATTTTTATTTATTAAAGAACAGTCGAAAAATGCTAAAGTGGCCTTAGGATGATGGCCGTTATATTGATCTCAACAGTTTGAGGGTTCGACTGGTAAAGCTGCGGTATAATTGATGCGATGTTATCTGCTACGCTCAAGATGCAAGATAAACCTATCCCTTACAAGCCCCCGTGATTTAAGATAACGAGATTCGATGTCAACAGTAAACCGAACTGAAGAGTCTAGATACACCATAGACAATCTACAAAAATATATTATTTGGAGGGTACCGTATGCTAAAAAATGAATATATTTTTGAGCAGGCACATCTCTTGTAAAATATATTCGTGTGTATGACTTTTAAATATAACTATATTTGTTAATTTGTCCCTAAAATCTATTTTTAACTATAATTAATTATTAATTAATAAAATTATAACAGTAGAGACTATGAATTCATTTCCCAACAGTGCCTCTTACGTTCTAGAAGATAAAAATGTTTTTTATGAACAATAAAAATAAGTGAATAACATTTTTACTTACTGTGTAAAACAACAGCAGTTATGGAAGCCTCAGTTTTAAAATTCGTAATACTTCCACGGGTTTACAAGCCAGTTGTTGCTTCAAGCTGAGGATTTGCTGCAATTTAGCATCTTATTTCTATGTTTTAATTTTACTATGAGCAAGATTAATGTTCCACATGACTGGAATTTCTAATTGTGAAGTTAGAGTTTTAATAAAATGGACAACTGAGAGGGATTCTGGAAATTAATACTTCGGAAAGTAAAGCAAATTTGGGTATATTTTATTTATTTTATGAATTGTTATGGAAATTTTCTTGGTGGAGACGATATATTTTATGTCTTAGGAGACGGAAGACTGAAAGTTGGGGTGAACATAAAAAATCACTTATTTATGAAGCACAGAACATGGGCAAACGAATTTATTAATTTTGGCAGGCTTTGGCTGCGTACAAATTAAGAAGAGAAATACGGCCATAATGAAATCGTTAAAAAATCATAACACCTTGTAGCAAACAACAAGTGTATTATAAGTTATAATGAAAGAAGAGGGAACTTTTTAATTACAAAGAAAAAGTCAAACAACAACAAAAACGTGACTTGTATAATAGCAGGGATATTCACTCAACAGTACAAAATTTTCATCCCTCTTGTTCGGCCCTAAAAATATTTTATAAGAAGAGGGTAGATATTTTTCTCGCCCTGAATATTGTATTTGTTGTTTAATTTTAAATACTCTATTGAATTTTGTTTAATCGATGAGAATATAATATAATTTAAGGTAACTAGAATCATTTTTCACTAATTGTAAAATAAAGGTCGAACGCGGAAATATTAGTGTTCGAAAATTGCGCATTATTATTGAAGAAGCGATGGATGTCGATGAAATTTATGGAAAAGACGGTCAATCCAATGACCAACATGTGTGCCAAAAGCCGATTCGATTGACATTAAACAATTTCATTGTCAATAATAATGAGCAATTTCCGAAAACTGATTTTTCTACATTCAAATTTCATTTTACATTTAACAAATTGGTAAAATACGACTTTAGATACCTTTAAATTGTAGGTAATTTAATTTCCTACAATATAAAATGACAAATTTTCCGATAGGTCTTCTAGATTTTCGTGGGCAGTAAAAAAGTGAAAAAACGCGTATTTGCACTTATTTGCAATTTGCCAATTCTACATACCCGTCATAAAATGTAATAACATGTCTACTAATAATTTTTTCACCTTCAAACTCTATTTCGACTGGAGTATTTGCGAAATACAAGGTGGCAAAGTTTT